TCGAGGTGGAGGCGGAGGAAGACGTCGGCGTTGGGGAAGGTAAGCGGGTCGGGAGAGCTGGAAGTATATGAGGGAGGCGGAGGGGACGGCGGCGAGCAGAAGGCGGCGAGGCGGGAGCTGCTCGCCGAGCGCTGGCGCTTGCGGAGGGACATCGCCGTCGGCGTTCGATGTCGGTAATTGGGGATTATTTTCTTCTCGCTTTGCCGCTTTGGGGACGGTGAGGCCGCGAGGGAGAGGGGAGTGCGTCAGTTGCGCGCTTATAAAAAAGGAAGGGACACTGGCCCGAATGGATTGAGATGAGGATGAGGATCCGTGACGGCTCCGGCTCCCGCTGCCGATCACTGTACATGCACGGTTCATCGAATTTGTTTCTTCTCTCTCCTCCTTTTCTCTCTCACTGACACACCGGAGCCGGAGAAGCTCGTTTTTTCTGGCTCCAACAGCCCGGCTACAGTGTCGCTACCGTGTAGGAGCCGGAGCACGCGGGAGCCCGGCCAAACGGGGCCGAAACCTGATGTAACTTTTCGGAGGCTACGTTTGAATTTCGTTTTTTTTTTCAAAAAATCTGTTTCTCACTCGCGCATTTTATTTGGATGTGTCACTCGATTCTGGTAGCCGTCCGATCTCTCTCTCTCTCATCTGCGCCATCTGCTCTTCTTTTGCTTTGATATGTCTCTTACATGTGGGTCCATCTTGTCTGTGCCTACTGTTTTGATTTTTGGGAGTCGTGCCTCCTTTACTGGTTTGAAAACGGAGTCCTGGAGTCCACCGCTTCATTTCCGCATGCGTTTCGAGTTCCTTGATTGTGAGTGGAGCTCCTAGAGGTGACGCGGGCGACGCGAGGCGATTCGAGGCGACGGGCTAGGGTTTGTGATTTCCTCTTCGTTTTCTCCTTTTGTTCCATGGATTGAGTTATTTTAGTTGTTTGTATGTATTTTGAATCTTCTGTGTTGTGTTTTCTCGTCTGTCAATGTTGTTCGAAGAGGCGTTTGGATGTGACGCGAGGTGTATCGGGGGATTCCGTGCTAGGGTTCGTGGTTTCTTCCTCAATTTCTCCTTTAGTTCCATGGATCTGAGTTGTTTGAGTTGTATGGATGTATTCTGAATCTCCTGTGTTGTTTTATTTTCTTCGATTTGATCGGATGTTGTTGTTCCCCTTTTCTATGGCGGTCTCTGATCTGTTCGTGTTTAGGTTTGCTGCTGACCTGGATCTTGGATCGTCCATGGTGCTAGGATTCGTTCATTTATGTTAATAGTTTTCTTATTTTTGTTGCGGATGTTGATTGTATCGGTGTATGTTTCATTCTGATCAAATTTATTTGTATATATTTGGTGTATTCTTGGTCGTTTTGGAGCTACATTGTCTTGTTTTTCAGTCGGCGTGTTGATCTGGAAATTGGATCGGCGTCTGGTATAAGGTATAAGTTTCTCTATCCTTTTCTATGTTTTTTATTTCGTTGTGCACCTCTGTTTGTTCTTGTAAGTGTGATGCGTTTTTTTGTGCTGAATGTGTTGTTATGGTTTGCTTGATCTATGTCATGTTGTTTGATGCTCTAGTTTCAATTTAAGTAGTAGTTTCAGTATGAGGTTTACTTCATTGTCAGTTTTGTATAATTTATTTTGATTTTAAGTGTTGGTTAAGTTGAGTTCAACCTATTTTCAGTTATAGTTTATTTTAATAGAATCTCTTTTTAACTGAAGTTAACATTCAGTTTTGTTTAGTATAATCTATTTTTAGTTATAGTTTAATTAAAGTTGAGGTTACGTGTATTCAGTTTAAGTTCAAATTGTATCAGGCTTCAGTGTGTTAGCTGTTAGTGTAGTTAATATTTAGAGTTTTAGTTTTGTAAATTTATATTGTTATATCAGGTTTTCTTTCATTTTCAATTTTTTCATTTATTGTGGTTTGTTTATATGTTTAGTTCAGTTTCTGTTTATTAGAATTTATCTCCATTTTAAGTTTAGGTTAAGTTGACTACATCTTATTCAGAGTTTCAGTATGATTTTTTTCTTTTATTTCTTCATTTGTGTGTGACCTGTCAAGCATTTATGTTTAAAATCATTTCTGATATGTACGAATAGTTCTCCCTGATGTAATTTTTATAATATATTTGTAATGACTATCCCTTTGTCTTACTTCATGTTAGATTCATGTGTTAGTTGTTTAGATTTAGAATGATCCTCTTACTTCAGGTGTCTGTTTATTTTAATTTCAGTTACGTTTCATTTTAGTTTTGTTTCACTTTTAGTCATCGTTCGGTCATATTTGAGTTTTGTTTTTAGGTTTACTCTTATTGTGTCATTTTATTTTTAGTCTCAGTTAAGTTTTAGAATCATCCTCTTAGTTCAGTTTAGTTTTCCTTTCTAGTTCAATTTAAGTTTTAGATTTCTTAATCTCAAAATATGACTAGGATAAATTCAGCTAAAAGTAGAATGTTATAAATTTTTCAACGATATGACCAGGATAAATTCGACAAAAATTAAATTCAATTATTTGTTAGAATTTATTTCGATTTTAAGTTTAGGTTAACTTGAGTATATCCTATTTTCAATTCAAGTTTAGAATAATAGAATCTTTTTTTAGACCAATATATTTTTAGTTTTAGTTGAATCGATGTTCAGGTTAAGTTTAGTAGAGTTCTAGTTCAATTTTTTATCAGGGTTCAGTGTTTTTAGCTGTTAGTTTAGTTAATATTCAGAGTTTTAGTTTACGAAATTTCTTTTGTTATATCAGCTTTGATTTCATTTTTTTCATTTATTGTCTTTAGCTTTTATGTTTATTTCAGGTTCATGTTTATAGAATTTATTTTCATTTTAAGGTCAGGTTTAGTTGATTACATCTTATTCAGAGTTGTAGTTTGTTTTTGGTTTTATTTCACTTTTTGTGAGTCACTTGTCAAGCAATCATGTTTAAATTCATTAATGATCTCTATTAATAGCTATCCTTTATGTATTATCTTGTAGTATTTTTGCAATGACTATCCTTTTGTGTTAGTTTTACTTATTTTGATCCTTTGTTATGCTTGAATTTTTTTTAGATGGATACTAGAGGTCGAAAAAAGCGTCGAGTTGCTGGTTTTTCTTCTGAAGCTGATTTTGTTGATTTAGAAGATAGTCAGAGTGATGATGTGATGTGTTCTCAATATGTTAATGATGATTCTTTTGGTGATAAATCAGGTTCTGATGTTGAGATGTTATCTGAGGTAAGTTTTTTTTTATTTGTTTAGTTTTATTTTATTGTTTTACATATTTTAGTTATAATGTTTGTTTTTGGTCATTTTTAGGATTCTTCATCTGATGATTTAGTTGTTCAGAGGTTCAATAAAATTTTATATGAGCAGTGTTTGAAAGATGTATGTTTTCTTGTACCATCTGTCCATCATGTCTGTTTCTTTCTCTGTTCAGTTTCACTTGTTTTTTTAATTCCAATAGTGAAACTTGTATGTGGCTAGTTGCTCGGTTTTATAGGCTGTTATTCCTCATTTTTATTTCTGCAAGGTCTTTGTTGTGCTGGTGGCTGCATCTGATCTTGAGATCCATATGCCAAGCTTCACTCCCTCTATTTTAAATCTTATTCAGCATTTCTGTTGATCTTTTTTTATTGATTGTTGCCAATCTTGTGCCGCTATAGTCCAGAATCAGAGTTTCCTGTTGTCAGTCTTAGATCTGTCAATGTTGTGTCACTCCCTATTTGTGGATGGTCATTATTTTGCTTGTTATTGATTAGTTATCTTAGAAAATCAAATATCTGACCACCTTTAGAATTTTAGTGCTTTTTGCTTTTGTCGTTCTATGTGCTTTTCTTATTTTTACTGTTTAATCTGTTATACTTAATATGTCATTGATTAGTGAAGATGTTTTTGTTTCTTTTCTTTCCTTATATTTTTCAATGAAGCTACCGGTTTAGGGTAGTGCAATTTGTATTTTGTTTTAGTGAAATGAGAGTTGCTATCTCTTTTAAAGATTTGTTTGAATTGGCCTTTTAGATTTAATTAGCTATTATTATTATTTATATTTTTTGTGTTTAAATTCCCTTCGTATAAATCTTTATTTTTACTTTATATTTTTTGTCCTTATTTCAGTATGATCAGGGCCTTAAAGCGTAAATTGTCTGTGGCTTTGCTAGCTCAGGTATTTATTTATTTTTCTTCTTTTCTATTTTTAGTACTGTACATTTTTTTCTTTGTTAATATAGTTCAAGAAGTAGAAATCTTCAAAGGCTTCATCTCGATAGGTTTACTAAGCGGGTCGTCAATAAATTTGCTATTGTCATTAGTTCATTGTCCGAAGCTAAAAAGGATGTTATAAGGAGATATGGATTTGGCTCTCTCGCTTTTTGACAAGTGTTTTGTGCCTAAGAAGTTTTCTAAGTGGTGGCGTCTCTTGTTGAGTCGAAGTCTGGAGATCTTATTGTTCATGGGAAGGTTATATCGTTGACTTCCAAATTTATGAATCTTGTTTTGGTATTCTGTTGGTGGTACTCCTTTTCCTTCCAATTATGTTCTTTGGCGAGAACTATTGTTCTATCTAAGATTGATAAGACTTCTTTGCCTCATGTTTCTTTTCTTTTTTGAAAAGTTGGCGTACCGATGATCTTCTACCGATGAAGTAGTGTTGATACATTTTTTGGTTGTGGCTCTGCATTGTTTCCTTTGTCCAAACTCTAATTTGGTTCCGAAAGCCCTCGCTACCTCGGTGTGTTTGAACACCTTGAGCATATCAGTTCTTTTGAGTGGTCTGGGTTTGTTTTCCGTTGGTTGCTTGATGTTGTTAAGAGTTTCAACAAAGGAAAGAAAGATGGTCAGAAAAGTTTTGGTACTCTTGGTGGATGTATGTTCTATTTTGTTGTAAGTTATCTCTAGTCTATTTGCATTGTCTTTATTTTTTTTGAATTCTCAGTTTTGTATCATTGTGTTTGAATTAGTTTATTCTAATTTTTTACTTTTTTCTATTTTTTTGCAAGGCTATATATTTGGATAATGTTGATTTTTCTCATCGCCATGTATCTGATACCTTTCCTCGAATTGGAGTTTGGAAGCAAAAATATGATTAGGGATTTTTCTGATCTTGATATAAAATCTCCGTCTGTTTATGGTATGAGGCCTCTTCTTGATTTTGAGAAGACATGCTATCACAAGGTATTTTTTGTTTGGTCATATTTTTTGTTTATATGTTTTTATGTTTTAACATTTTTTTTCTTGTTTGATAGGCTTTGACTTCTCAAAGAAGAATCAATTTCTCGAGGCTTCTCGATGTTCTTTGAGTTCTTGTCTAAGCTTGAAGCATCTTGTGGTTGTGATGTGCCTAGCAGTTTGAAGGCTAGTTTGTTGAATGTCATTGAAGAACATTGCAAGGGTTGTTTTCCTTGTATTCCTATTGATTTGGTCTCTCTTGGTGCTCTTTCTGATGATTTGAAGACCATGTTCTCCAAATTGATGAATCATATATATTCATTTAAGTAAAAAGTCACAGGAATTAGTTATTAAGGTTTTGAAGGAGTTTGCTGATTATGAAAGTTCTTCTGATCCTCATATTGCTTCTCCTGAGATGGCTGCTGAATCAGGAAATGTAAATGGTTTTCATCAACCTCATGATTCTCAGGTATTACTTCAGTTTATTTTTATGCTTTTTTTATTTATACATTGTTTTGTCATTTGTAATTTTCATTCATGTGAACTATAGGTTAATGTTGAGAAAGTTGAAAGAGCTTCTTCTTTGGCTAAGGATCTCGGTGAGTTATCTTCTGTACCCATCCATTGCCTATTGTTTTGTTTTAGTAATGATGGGTTTGAATTTGTTGTTTTATTTCATGTGTTTATATTAGTTGCTACTCCAGTTGGTACTCAATTTAGAGGTCAGGGTGTCATGGGTGTTGTTCCGGGTTCATCTTCCAAGTGTGAGTTATTTATATTTTTTCCTTTATATTTGTGTTTCATTAGTAATATTTTTTTGTTTTTAATTTATTATTTTTAAAAAAATTATTAGGTGTTCCTTCATCTTCTAAGAAGCAAGTTACATTTGGTTTAGCTGTTCCTCCGAATGATCTTTCTCAGCCATATGATCTTTTTCATAAAAGTGTTTGTCGAGGTCATCTTGTTGGGAAATCTTCTTCTCAGTCTGTGCCTGCACATGTTGTTGATGATGTAATTCCTGTTGCTAAAGATCATGATTCTAATGTTTTAGCTGGTGGATTTAATTCTCCAGATCATTTTACTGCAGTAAGTTAATTTTCGTATTGTTTTCTTTTTGTTGCTGTTTACATTTTTAGTTTCTAGATTTACTGCAGCAAGTTAATTTACTACATTAAGTTAATTTAGTGCAGTAAGTTAAGTTGGATCTAGTGTTTTTTGAAAATCGGGTGATTGCAGATTGAAATCACTCGATTCTGGTTTGGAGGTAGAATCGAGTGATTTATGGTTCTGGATCACTCGGGTGACCAATCACCATAAATCACCTGACATATTAGTAGACAGACCCTTTTTTTTACCCATGGTCGAAGTGTCAGCATATACAGTGCCAAAATATGAACATCTTGTCTCGTCCTAATCATCAAGGTGCCGTAGGATCCATGTTTCCTATAAACATTTCAAATTTAAATTATTTCAAGAATACTTCACGAGTCTGTTTTGTCGGTAGGCTAAATGCTATTAAAAACATTTTTCAAAAGAATCATATAAATAAAATATGCTTTAAAATATTGAACTTCTTTTGGACAAAAAACAACTTTAATTACAATCCATTCTATTATACATAAAAATATTAACTAGAAAAAATACAACATGAGAAGGAAGAATCAGAATCACTTGAAACCATGTTTTCACAATTTCATGTATGTAACCATCAGATCGTGAATCATTCTAAACCATTTCGAGCAGGATCGTTTTGCTGCTAAGTTGTTTAGCTTTGATTTTACCGATTCTCATAAAAATCAGAAATGACTCAGTGCCAAACACACCTAACTTACCGTGTTTGGTTCCGAAAGCCACCGGTGAGGGACTGGCCTATTCTTGCAAATTCACCTATGAAGAAGTTTTCCCTCATACTTGGATCATTTTCGTCCTATAAAATCTAGGGATGAGGTATTCTTTATGACGTTGTTGTTTGTTCGTCTCGCGCAAACACAGAGATGGGTGGCATAGGGTGGACAATGATGGGTGAGCGGTGAGGTGGAGAGCGAGGGATCGACAAGATAGAGGAGGTTGGACTCTCCAGCCGCCAAGCATATGTTGCTTCCTCGGCATGACTCGAGCTTAAAGATTGCACACATGCTTGGAGACACAGGAGCGGGCCGGTAAGAATGCGTAGGTCGATGGCCAGATGCCTAGGAGGATGTGCTCCCCGTGCGATCATGCGGAGAAGATAAACATGCAAAAAAAGAAAAATGAGAAATTTTTCAAGGGAGTATGAAAGGTGGAGGCACCGATGACAAGTGGGATTGGTTGATAATGATGGCTAACGGTGTGAAAAATATGTGTCATCCATCCTTCTAAATTTCTCCAATCAAACAAAAAAAATAGGATGAACTTATCCCTTCAACCAAATACAAAGGTGAAATGGTCCCATAAAAAATTGTAAGTGCATCTAGCCCTTTAGTGGGTTTAGGTAAATTGAATGACAACATAATTAAAGGTCTAATAAGTTTGCTAAGTGTTGAACAGAAAATTGAGTCTATTGCATATACTTGTGGGTTGTGTATTAACAAGTATATACAAGGTTTAACTGGTAGGCAAACTTGATGATATGCCACATTATGTTAAAGTGAATGCCAAACTGTGTATTGTTGTATTGGAAGTTTTTGGAAGCAATCTAGTTCAAGCAAAAGACAACAATACAAATGGAATCAATGAAATGGCTTCTATGTTGTGAGATATCATAGCATCATGCGAAAGCAAACATACTTGGTAAATGACAATGTATAGTGGATATAAGTCGATCTCTACATTGGTTTGCTTACATGGATGAATATATGAAAGATCAATTAGAATGTCAAGCCAAAATGAGAAGGAAATAAGGAATCGTGAATTAGCTTGACCATATTAATATTGATCCATGTATGTCTCTGTGTGAGACAAACTGAAGCTTGATTGATCTCAACATTCATATCTAGAAAATATTCAAGCAAGGATCAAAATATTGAAGAAAATTTTTTCAATGGATGCTTAATATAATGTGACTTAAGTATGGCTTGATAGGGTGAAGATAGCAAGAAAAGGGCTTCGAGGTACTAAGCGAAGGTGAAGGGCAAGCGACGGCTTGGCGACTGAGGTACCATGGCTAAGGTGAAGAAGAGAGTACTTGCATTGAGTCAAGGTACTAATCAAGCTGTGAGGAGTCATATTGTGTTGAGGATCAAATCATTAGTGGAAGTGACTTGAAGCCATGAAGATAAACTTATATGTATGGAAATGGTTCAAGTCACATAATCAAGGTATAATGAGGATGAGGAAAACATATTCGATAATAGAAGTCCTCAATTGCCAAATGAAGTGGCAAGTAGCTCAAAGGCATTTACATTCTTTTATGCTTTGAATTTGAGTTTAGGAAAAGCCGTACTATAAAGAGGGATTCTAGTACAGTTGGTCAACTGTGCAACCAGATGCTCAAAACTTCAGATCTACATCCTCTTACCCAGCCAAAGCATCCAGCCAAAAATCTTCTGATTCTACCTGTTTTGGCTAGGGCGGCAGTGCCGCCCTATGAGGGCGACAGTGCCGCCCATAAACGACCATTGAGACCCAAGAGGTATAAATACCATTTGGGCCGGCCCACTACGTAGAGCCTTCTTCTCCAACGGTTCAGTTCAAAACTGAACAGACCAAAGCTCACCTCTCTCTCCTCCATTGTTGCTCCTTCAAGCTCCCAAGCAATCCTTCATTTCCACCATCAAAACTTGAGAGAAAAGGTAGCAAAACTCGATTGAAGAGCAGATCCACTGATTCCCAAAGTCTAAGAGCATTTGGTTCACGTTTGGTCGGTGGTTCTAGGGTTTGTTACTCTTGGAGCTTGCTCCTAGCTGGCTAGGCGTTGCCCTTGTGCTTGCCAACTCGTGTGGCAGCCTTGTGAGGTTTGTAACCTCATCCTGCAGCTAAGAAATTACCCCTCACTTCAAGAGTTCATTCTCTTGATTTGAAAACGAGGGCAAGGCAAGCCTTGGTGGCGAGCCAATCCTTTTGTGGATACCTCAACAACGTGGACTTAGGCAAGCCTTGGTGGCGAGCTGAACCACGGGATAAATTTTGTGTCTCACGTGCTTCACTTTGTGTTCTTGCTGGTTCAGCTCTTTGCTAGCTGTTGTTAGGGTTTGGTAGCTCGATCCTCTCTTGTGTGAGATTTCTGTGGTATCCAGTCTTTGAACTAGATTTTGTCTTTCTATTGCAGGATTGAGCAGCTGAGAGGGTCAGGTTACTATCTGTGAAATCTCAACGTTGTCTGCTTTATTTTTGAAGAGCGGCAGTGCCGCCCTCTGCTCTAACAGAGTTTCGAGTTGAATTTTTACAGGCCTATTCACCCCCCCTCTAGGCCTCTTAGGCGACATCAAGGTCCTTTCAATTGGTATCAAAGCCTGGCTCTCAATTTCGGGCTTAACCGCCTTGAGAGAACAATGTCGACAAGTGAGGAGGTATCTCTAGAACTTTTACTTTTAGATGGCTCAAATTATACATCGTGGTCTGCTAGTGTGCTTGATGTTTTTAGGACCATGGGTCCTCAAATAGAGCAGGTTGTAGATGTGAGCATTTCACCTCCTCATGATGATTTGATCTACCTATCTAGAGAGGAAGCGAAATGCTTACAACTCAATGCTCAAGCTACTAATGTCTTATTTAGTGCTTTGAGTGAAGATGTACTTGATGCTGTCATATTTGGAGATGGTAAACCACTTGGTGATGCTCATATCATTTAGACCACGCTCAAGGAAATGTATGGCAACTCCAAATGTGAAGAGAGCAACCTCTCATTGGAAAAATCACTTGAGGAATGCTCAACTTCATCGACAAATGATGAGCCTCAAGTGATTCTCTCAAAAGGCCTATTTGACCATGCCACATCCACTTCCTCGTCAACATATGACTTATTGGATGGTAATGAAATAGTTGGTGAGAACAATTTTTTTACATGTGGTACTTCTACTTTCTTTAGTTCTTATAAGACTAACATTTTGAAGGAAGAAGAAGCTTGTGATCGGTGGAAGCCAAATGATGAATCCACCTTACCAAGAAGCTCAACTCTCTATACCACTTCACATATCGGTCTCATGGCAAAGAAAGAGAAGAAAGTGGCAAGTGAGAGTGACAGTGACAGTGGTAGTGATGATGATGAGATCAACCAACACCTTGCACGTCTAAGCAAGAAAGACAAGTTGATAGTGATCAAGTTCATAGAGAAGATTCAAGAGCAAGAAGAAGATCTCTACAAGCAAGAAGAGCTTCTCGTTGAAAAGATCAAATGCTTGGAGAAGTTGACTAAAAAGCATGAAAAGCTTAAGTGCTCTCATGCTAGCTTGGTCCAAAGGTATGAAAACTTGTCAATTGAGCAAACTCATACTATTAACTCTCTATCTTGTGTTGCTCAATTAGAAGATCAGAATTATATGCTCAAAGACAAGTTGGAAAGGCTTACTAGCAAAAATAAGACTTTGCAAGAAAGTCATGATGGGCTTTTGTGCTCTCATGAGAAGCTTATAGAGTCTCATCTCATGCTAGAAGTTGCTCATGAGGTTGTGGTAACAACGGTAAAATCATACCAACCTCACACTTACAAATGCACATATACACAAGTTCCATCTATTTTATCATGTGCTAACAAGTGTTGCTCTCAAGCAAGCCAACCTTCCGTTGAGCATGTAATTGTAGAAACTTGTGATGATTCCATTGCAAAAGAAAATGAACAGCTCAAGGAAGAAGTTAAAATGCTAAAAAGGGACTTGATTCAATGGAAGGGCAAGTGCAATGCTCAACCTTCTCAAGATAACCATGAAGACATGGTGAAGAAGCTTAAGAATGGATCAACCGATTCATGCATCAAGCCTTATCAAAAGGGTTACAAGTCCAACAATGTCAAAGTAAAGGGGATACTTAAAGAAGTGCAATCTATCCAGAATGTAGTAGTTCAGCCAGCTGCACACACTGCAGTAGTGCCGCACCTGGATAGAACAGGAAAGTTGCCAAGGCCATCAAGGTGCAACGTCAATCAAAGAAGACTCTCATCACTTGCTTCAAGTGCAAGAAAGACGGTCACCATGTCAGAGACTACCCCTTGAAGAAAGAAGAGAAGGGCGTGAGCAAGATCCAAGAGAAGAAGAAGATGGCTCATGTCAAGTTCTCCAACATGGGACACAATGCTTCTATGTGTTCCAACAAGGTCGATGATCAAGCCACACTTCCAAAGAACAAGATAAGAAGAAGCAAGAGGA